GAGTTTTTGCATCTTACCTGTAGTTTCTGTGCAATGTTCGTCCGAATTCAAAGTGAGTTCGATATTCACCCATTAGCCCCCAGATCTAGCCTGAAAGTCTGGGTTTGCGCGTTGCACAACTGCACGAAGCATATCAATGGTAGTGACTGCTGGTGAAGCTGGTTATGTGCTTCTTCATTCAGGTCGTGTATATGGGCGAATGTTTCTTGGAAATATTTATTTGTGACGCATGGATCAACTAAACATTACACCTACATAATTTGGTATCCTCACTACAAATTGTCTCATTGCTAGGGTCTTAATTAGGGAAGTTTAATTACAGCCAACCAGTACATCTGAAAAAACCCTTATTTGCCAAATTTGTGTTTTCTTTTTTTTACCGAAATATACTCGCCACAGGCTGGAGCAGTGACCTTTGTTCCTCTTTCTACTTCAATGTCAACGCCGCACAACAGAGGTGAACCAATACTCCCGATGATAAAAGATCCGCAAGACCGATTAGATAGGAGTGCAATCTGCGTTGACAAACTTACAAACAGCTCTAAGGTCACGACATGTGATTCAGAGTTAGAGATAAACGCTCGATCTATAAATTAGATCTTGAATGAACGAGGAAAAGAAGGTTTTGAAATTTTTAATGGTTTCAATTTTCAGGAATGGATGCTTTCTTGTTCAAAATATTTAACATGTGCTGCCGGCGTGATCAGAAACAAAACAAATGTTTGATCCTACTGGAATGCATACAAGTATAATGCTTATTGGAAGTATGAAAGTATGTTGAAAGTAATTAAACATTTATAGAACAGATATATAATAAAAATAATTGAATCTACAGTGCCATTACATTTGTAGATATAAAAATACTGATCTTGCAATAAAGTATTTATTAGTAAATAACGCTATAAATCGTACAAACTTTTCTTCATGTTTAGACTAGAAGCTTTTTGTGTTCTGATTGCTGCATTATGCGTAAGATAATCCACTCCCGATTAAGTGCCGCAATAAATGATCTTAAAAATATTATATATTTTTATTTTTATTATATTTTATTATATATAAAAAATATATAATTTTATTATATATAAAAATATTTGCGTAATAAAGAGTAAAGAAAATTATTACGTAACTCTTTTCGTGCTACTTTTTATACAACTAAATATTTCCTTTTTATATATATTTTTATATAATTTTTTTACGGATAATACTTCAAATTTTCTTACGTTTATATTCTTATTAGTTGTAGTTCTTCCAATGCTTGTGTGAAAATGTATGAAATAAACTTTTGTGAATGGTTTCGTTCAATAAACACGTATTATTAATTACAAATTACACATGTTATTTCAAAAATAAATTCTCTCACACCTATTCATTTTTATGAATAGTAAAATTGTTTCACAAAAACTTGGAAAACATTGGAAATATCCTTTAAATATATTTATTTCAATTATTCATTTAAATTTTATATTGAACTATCAGCTTTGTTCAGAGAACTATATTAAGATTTTGTATATCATATCTGAATTTCAGCACACCTGAGACAATAATTCTCAAAATAATGACAATTATTTCAGCAGTTGAAATAAGTTGATACCTTAATTATCTTTTTAATAATGGATGTCACTAGAGTCAACATATAATCGAAGTTGTTTGCTGATTTTCACCCGAAATGTTTTATAAACAACTGGGTCTTCTTTTTGCAATGCACTAATTAAGGTTGCAATGTCGTTTTGCTTTTATAATTGTCAAACCGATCATGCATCATAACTTGCCTTTTTCCGCTTTTCCTTTTCTTTTTGACTTTTCAACTTCGTCAAAAAGTAAAAAGATAACCAGAGCAGCAGGTTTTAGATACCACGTACATTTCAAATAGAGGTTTGGTTATGTTAGTTTACCACCGATTCAATTTCATAATTCACATCAAAGGTCTAAACATTGGACAAATTGCTGTTATGTCGGTGACGTCACATTAACGCTGGCAACGGGTTCGCCTATGAAAGTACTGAAAACGCGCTGTTCCTGTGTAAATAGCTTGACAATGCTCTCTGAGGTCAGAGCAGTGACTAAGTCTGCTCGAGTAAAGGCGCCTTTATAGATAGGCAAGGTAGGAAGGTGCCAACGTCTACATTTTATGAGGGCAGCAAATGTTAAGAAATAGTATGATGAAAATGTTCAAGATTTGACATGTATAACCAATATTTCAATAAAAATATTAATAATATCCTAAAATATATGAGTTTTGAAAAAAGAGATCAGCCGGATGTGTAGTGTAAAAACACAGGACATACAAATAGTTATCGGAGCTCTTTTATTTGTTCCGCAAAATTTATGTAAAAACTCGTTCCAACTCCCAGGTCAAAAATCAAAAGACCGGAAAGTTCAAGGAGTCTCTTTAATACAGGTACAATTAATATTTTATTGCATTTTTAAGAGTTTCTATTACTAGCTCTGCTGCTTAGGAAGTTGGTACGAGTACCTATTTGGAGTAGATTTATGTATAACCGACATATAGCTCAATATCTTTAGTTGTAAAATTAGGGTATAATAATAATAATAATAATAATAATAATAATAATAATAATAATAATAATAATAATAATAATAAAGTAATTAGCCGACGCGGATAGCAGAGGTTGCTAAAGCTGAAAAGCCGCAGCTGTCTGATGCCTGAAGAGTCGCCGGTCCGATTCCCACCCGGGGCATGGATGTTTGTGTATCTGTGTATTTGCAATTGTCCCTTCATTCTTCATCATTATCATCTTTGCGTACCTCATCCCTCCAGGGCTACGAACCTTCAGTGTAAAAATGAATTCAGCATAGAAATGCTGATCCCCCCTCGAAGAAAACGGTCACGCGCACTTACCCCCGGAACATTTGACTGGGCGTCGGTGGGTACAGTTGCACGTTCACGTGGTCCAAAGACGACCGATTCGCAACCAAGAGAAGCAATTAATAGAAAGAAAATGGTCATTGAGAAGGGGGCGAATTCGTTTGGGAGGCGGTGGCAGGGCGGAGCTGTCAGCAGGAGCAGCACCAGAGCGAGGCGCGCACGGCGTCGGCGGCGGCGCTGGCGCGCGGGGGCGCGGGCGCCGGCCAGCACAGCGCGGCGCCGCAGGCGGGCGGTGGGCGAGCGCGCGGGGCCACGCGGCCCTGGGCGCGCCGCCTGCAGGTCGGCGCCGGCTCCACAGCACGGGCCACGCCACGTCGCCGCGCAGCGGCCGCCGTGCAGCTGGCGAGCGCCGTCGCGGCACGCCCCCCGCGCGCCCCCGCCGCCAGCAGCGCGCTACGCCAGTCGCGCGCGCGCCCGCCGCCGGCAGGTGCAGCGGCTCACGTCGCACCCCCGCCCCCGCCGCCGCCCGCGCGCAGCAGGGCGGCACGATGGGCGCGTGCCCGCGCGCCGCAGCACGTGCACGCCGACACCGCCATCCCTCCTCCACCTCCTCCATGGCTTCAGCTTGTCTCTCCCGGCGTGTTTCTTACGCCCATCGCTCTCACCTTCTCCATAAACGCACAACCTCCCTCTCGTTCTCCTCATTCTTCACATTCACTTCAATCCTCACGTAGGATTCATTTCTCTCTTTGCTCCATTTTCCCTCATCTACTCATCCTCACATCCCCATTACTAGTTGTAGCATCCATCCGTCTCATCATCCAACTTCATCGTCCTCAAGCTCGTCTTCCCAGCCATCACCGCCCTCGTCGTCGGCACAGTAGTCCTCCAGCGCGCGGTAGATGGCCTCGGGCCGGCGGGCCCCGACGGCCGGCTGCTTCCTGACGGCGACGCGCAAGCGGCCAGGCGCGTCGGGGCGGGCCGGCCTTGAGGAGGGCGTCCACGACGTCCGCGCGCCCGCGCGCCCGCGGCGGCGTGCAGCGGGCGGCGCCCGCGGCGTCGCGCCGAGCAGGTCGGCGCCGCCGGGCCAAGGCGCCGGCCGCCCGCCGCCGTCGCCGCCAGGTGCACGCGCGGTGCGGCTCGGGCGTCGGGCGCGGGAGAGGGCGCGCCGGCGGACAGCAGGAGGCGCGCGGCGAGGCGTGGCCGCGCAGCGACGCCAAGTGCAGGGGCGTCGCCCGCGGGCGTCGGCCGCCGCCGGCACGCGGCCCCGGCGACAGCAGCAGCTGCAGGCACGCGTGTCCGCCGCGCACGCCGCCGCCGCGTGCCAGCGGGTGGACCCGGCCAGATCGGGCACATCCGGGCCGCTCCCGCCTCCAGCAGCACCTGCCGCGCATGCGCCAGTGTCAGTCAACCTCATAGCCATAATCAAGGCAAGAATATTGGATCATTTGCCATCTGACATCATTGCAACTGATATAAAAATATGTCTATAAAAATAAGAAATAAATAAAATTTCTTAAAAAAAAAGTTTTATAAGATTTTGTTTGTAAAATTAACCATGGTTTAATGTTAATGGGATAATGGTTAACCAAATTAATCAAACTCTCGTTAGAGCTGCGGTGACATGACGTGATATTTACGTGATTGTTTTGTGCCGACGTGTAAAACTGTTGTTTTATCTACTGATGTGTAAGCAGCAAGTGACGGAATGTGATGAAGCGATGTGAGTCGACACGTCATGTGACCTGAGTGAGACATGTCAAAGTTGTGACTTATGCTGTAAATGCGATGTGTTCTGAAGTATTGTGAAGATGTGACGAATTGTGAGTGGAGAATTGATGAGTACAAATAATTGTGAAGTGTGAAGAATTCGTGAAGTTTGAAGAATTGTGAAGTGTGAGAATTGTGAAGTGTGAAGAATTGAAGTGTGAAGAATTGTGAAGTGAAGAATTGTGAAAGTGTGAAGAATTGAAGTTGTGAAGATTGTGAAGTGGAAGAATTGTGAAGATGTGAAGAATTTGAAGTGTGAAGAATTGTGAAGTGTGAAGAATTGTGAAGTGTGAAGAATTGTGAAGTGTGAAGAATTGTGAAGACTGAAGAATTGTGAAGTATGAAGAATTGTTAATTGTGGCGTGCATTGTCACGCGCCATTGCGTTGAAATGCTTGTGACCGGATGAGAACGCCCATGCGAAGAGCGGGCGCTGTCGTGCGCACCTGCAGCGCGAGGCCGGTGCCGTTGGCGGGCGGCGAGGTGCACTGGCGCGCGGCCGCGGCGTCGAGGGCGTTGGCGCGCACGCCGCGCTCCCGCAGCAGGCGCCGTGCGAGGGGGCGTGCCCAGGGCGCGCCGCGTGTGCAGCGCCGAGCGCCGCCGCGCCCCTCGACGGCCGCGCGTCCGCCCCGGCCGCCAGCAGCAGCTCCAGCACCTCGCGCTGCGCCGCCGCGGCCGCCTGCACCGCCGTCAGCCCTGCGCCGCGTCCGTTCCTGCGCCGACGTTACAGCGTTACCAGGGCGCTTTTAGCCCCAAATTACTACAAATACAGACCTTATTTGAAGATCTCTTTTTTTTGAACACATGCATCAGGGAAAATACTTGTAAATTCTTCACATTGGAGTAGAGGGAGACGCCGAAAAATGTTTATGTTTTACAATTTTCGAAAAATCATGCATTTCTACAAACATGAGACCTGCACTGTTCTCTTAAAATCCTTCATGCTATCTAAGGTTCAAAACTTAATCCAAAAACATTTTGTGCCAACCTATGCCATTATGTTAACAAACGTTTATGGATATTTAATGTGAAAAATTAAATAGTCTACACTGATTAAATTGTGTATGTAGCTCTACAGGTCATAAGTGTCATGTAGATTACTTGTAGAAAACACGCGTAAGACCTAAATTACAAGACTGCAGCACAATTTGGTTACGCCCCTTTTCGTTTCGGAGGTAAATGAGACAGATCAGGAGAAGTTTGCCGTTTCACAAGAGAGCAAGCGAGTAGCTCGTTCGGGCGCGTTTGACAGGCCTTACCTAGTGAAACAAGCGTTTTTCTAAATCCTGTATAGTTACATGCTCCCATTTGTTTAATCTATCCCGTATATCCATGATCAAAATACTCAAATAAAATAAAAATAACTACAACCATAACATCATCTCAACGCTTCACACAATAACTGAGCATTAATTGTCAATTAATTGTGAATTTAGAGCATAAGTGGGATAAGTGAAAATCGCATTTTGCTGAAAAACAGGCGTGACAAGCGCATTGGGTGTAAAAGGGCTATCAGAAATTTCTTACTCTTCAAAGAATTCAATTTGCCGCCGCTAGATTGCGCATCAGTCAAGTTCCGCAAACGTTTGAAACAAGTTTTTCTTAATCATCTTCTAACATAATTTTTGCACTTCCTGCTACAATAATTTAAAGGCGATTCTCCCATCCGCTTTAATTGCATTAAAGGCGCATGCCAGAGCGGAGGTCGCACCTGCTTCCGGCGAGAAGACAAGCGCGCAGCGGGCGCGGCGGCGCAGGGCGGGGCGCGGGCCGCAGGAAGCCGCTGCGCTCGGGGTCTGCGCCCGCGCGCAGCAGCGCAGCCGCGCCCCGCGCGCGCCCGCGCAGGCGCCGCGTAGTGCAGCGGCCCGGCGCCCCCCGCGTCGCGCGCGAGCGCGTCCGCCCCGCCGCCAGCAGCGCGTCCACCGCCCTCGCCGACCGCGCTCACCTACACACACACGCGCGCGCGCAACGCTCAACTTTGCCCCCTCTTCCTAACGACAATAACACTATTGCCATAGGGCATTACATTAGTAATGTAGTAGTATCACTGTTATTTGTCAACCACAGCTGATGTAGCACAGGCCATCAGATGGTGTCACTGCAGTGTCTCTGACTGGAGGTCCTAGGTTTCAGTCCCGACGGAGATTATCGTATCCCGAGAAGATTTTCTGCACTAGATTCACACCTAGGCAGAGTTCAACCGCCTCTCTGGAGAGAATCTTAGCGGCTGGCGGAGCTGACAGATTGTTTCCCGTGGACCAGTTGTCCCGATGAACACAGCGAATCCGGAGCAGTACTCCTAAAACGAACGGGCCACGAGACTTCCTTCCCCTTTCTTCTCTTATCCTACCCCTTAATTACACATCCTCAAAACTTACATGGCTCGTACTACTCTATATGTCACAAAAACCAGTAGGAGTTTTGTACCGGCTGGTGGTGGGCGCTGGTGGAGATGCTTGGATGGCGAAAAGCCCGCGAGCCGACATGGAAGTCGGCGCCGGATCTCGCCATCCAAACTGGCGAGAACATATTCCGTGACGAACGTGCACTACACTTAAGTTACTTAATTACCACAGCAGTTGACGCGCCCGGGAAGACTAAAAATCAATCAATCAATTACTCAACTACTACCCTTTTTAAGTACGTGACATCTAAATTGAGGGAAAAGCTTGATAAAAGGAATAAACTAACAGTTGCTTCGCACCAATATGATTTCAGTTCTTTTTATCAAAAAACATCATGCAGAGACATCATCAGAATCATGAAGCTTGTGATTGGATAACGGAACCCCCTCTCTCCCTGTCAGGCGGGAGCTGTCAAGTAGCTTGTTTGTAGTATAGATCTTGGCTGCCGGGTGATGACGCGTTGAAGGCTGGCTTGCCGCCGTTTTTTCATCTTCTCGTGTCTCCCTCAAGCAGACCATCCCGGAGAAGTCACGAGACGGTCGGAACGTCGGCAAACCATCCTTCAACGCGGCGTCACCCAAGCTCAACTCCGCGTCTAGTCGTCGTGCAGCGCGCTCCGTACCTCCCGGTGCAACACCTCGAGCGGCGCCCCTGTCCACGTGGGCTCCGCGTCGTCCTGGCGTCCTCCCGGCGCGGGATCCCGCGCAGCAGGGGCGGCGTGGCCGCGCCGGCGGCCAGGTTGCAGCGCGGAGGCGCCGCCGGCGTCGCGCGCGTCGGGCGGCGCGCCGCGCCAGCAGCGCGCGCACGGCCGCCGCCCACCCGGCGAAGGCGGCCGCGTGCAGCGGCGTGCGCCCGCCGCCGTCCGCGCCGCCGCGTCCCGCCCCGCCGCCAGCAGCGCCCAGCGCCCCCGCCTGCCCGCCCGCCGCCGCCATGTGCAGCGGCGTCGTGCCCGCGGGCGTGCGCGCACACGCGTCGCCGCCGCCCGCCAGCAGCTTCTGCAAACGGACAAAACAAAAACGGGCCATGCCCACGAGCTGCAAATTTTGAAGAGCAAGCCAAAAGGTTCTAAGTTTCGGACATCGAACATTTTTTGTTTACTTTAACAGTTGAAGGACGCTGTACAGACGTCACAGAAGTGACAGACAACGAACGTTTATGCATGGAATGTTGAATTTATATTTTAAGAAAAGTTTCCTACTGTCAACTCAAAATTGACAAAAGGTGACATCGAACCGATTTGTTTGCTGCGATTCATGTGTTTTGGGGTCGCTGAACACGAATATCAAGTTTATCAACAAACAATGCTTTTAAGTTATTTTGATTAAACTGAAAAAAGTCGTAATTTTTACACACTTTCTGCATAACAACGTTATTCTGGATAAAATTTGACAACCTTATAAATTCTCAACCCCAGCGATTCAAAAAACATGAGAGAACCAAAATTTAAAACTACACCAAATCTTTCCGCGATTCGCCCTCTATGAGCACTATTTCCCGGGACTATTCTAGGAAACGAAATAGTGCGCGCGCGGTGAATCGGCAGCAGATTGTAGAACAAGCAGCTAGCAGGGAACCATAATGAAAATCAGGATTTGAGGAAGGGAGAATAATCAGAATTTGAACATGTGTAAGAAAAAAAAAATTGCGGCTTCGAGTCTCCTTTCAAAGTTTAAAGGGAAGGCCCCCTACCTGCCACGCACGGCCAACGCACCTGCAGCGTGTCGACGTGGCCGGCGCCGGCCGCGACGTGCAGGGCGGACAGCGCGAAGGCGGGGCGGCCGCGGAAGTCGCCCCCGATGCGCGCCTCGCGGTGCATGAGGCGGAGGTCGGCCTCGAACTCCTCGTCGGGGCGGGCGCCGGCGCGCAGCAGGCACTCGGCCACGTGGGCGTGGCCCCAGTACGCGGCCAGCAGCAGCGGCGTGGCGCCCAGCGCGTCGCGCGCGCGCGCGTCCGCCCCCGCCGCCAGCAGCGCCGCCGCCGCCCCCGCGCGCCCCGCCACCGCCGCCCGGTGCAGCGCAGAGCGCCCGTCCGCGTCCCTCGCCTCCTCGGCTTCCTGCGTCATCCCCAGCGCTGCGAAAGAGATGCACGCTGGAGGGGCACGCTGGGTGCAAGGCCGCCAAGCGGGTGAAATAGTTTTAAGGGTTCTCGTGTTCTCATACTTTTTGTCGCACGAGATCATTAGACCCAGTTGGTACGTACATGATTTTATTTTTTACGTAATTTTAATGATTCAGATTGACGTATTTACTAATTAACTAGTTGTTAACTTGACTCGGTTTGCATTTTCATATTTCCCTCCCATAATTTCCTCTCATAATTTCCTCCATAAGAGAATATGTAGCACCATTCAACTGTTTCCGTATTTCCTTCGTAATCACGATCCTCTCGATCCCGGTAAGTCATGCGGTGTACATCGAACTCCCTATCGACAGCAATAACAAGCAATAATGTGTAAGTAAAAAAAAAAATGCTTCGACTCGCGAGAAGAACATGCAATTCACGGAATTCTGTTCAATGGCCGCGAGAAACTCAAAGAAATTGATTACGAGTGCCTTTTTCATCATTCATTTAGCTATTAGTTAAAGTTATTATCGATTAGGCAGTTGATGCATTTTTAACAAACACACAAAGACAAATCATGCGTTTGAATGCAGACGTCAATCATTAATTAGATAAAAATTCAAAACATATAAAAAATATAAAACTACCAGACCAATTTAAATATTAACCTTCACTAAAATCAGTATTTACGTACACTAAACACAGACATTACTATATTCACAGAAGTAGCACTACAACTGAAGCGCTGTCAGGTACAAGATGGCGATGGACTTAAACGCTTAACAGTGATAGATTCTTTTTGCAATGAGTAGGTACCAAAACCCTTTCTGAAAGTTAATGAATCGTTGGTAAATGATGATGAAATAATTTAGTGATCATTTTAATTAGTAATCATTAGTGATGTATTCATATTAGTGATTTTTTTCTTGAGATACTTCACGATATCGTAGGGGCAAGTATTTTAAGTGGTAATCAGGTAAAGAAAATCTTAGTCTAAAGATTTTTCACGAATCTATTCCATTTCTTCGATACACGAAGATGCACATCACGGTATATTTACTTATCGGCAAAATGATACATTATTATCTAATCAAAGCGTCCACTTGTTTCTGCCTGTAACCGGAAATAATATTTAATTATAGCACGCATCAGTTAGGAAGGCGAACGCCTTATAAGCCGTTCTGCGCAACTGAGGTCACGAGTTTTCCATCTACAAATCAGATTCATCTATGTTGTGGCTTCGCTTGACTTGGGCGTCGCTCGTTGGGTCACACTTTTTATCTTGGCTCTGTGCATATACGCATATGTAGAATATTTTATTTAGAATGAAACTTGGGCTTTCTTCTCAACCAATTTTTTTGTGATTTTTGCTTTAAATAAAAGTCAGTGTGCCCAGGTAAGTTATCGCTTGCTGTTACAAGAATACATATATAGTTATAACTAGTTTAACTACTTTTCAGAAAAATGTTTAACTTTATGTTCACTTCAAGCTTCACTATTTCTCAACAGTAATTGTGCGGAGTAGTAATAATAGAGAGAGGTAATAGTTTCTCAGTAGTAATTATTTCTGAATTTTTAAACTCCTTTATATCATTGGTCTTGGAGGATACGTACAGAGTGGAGTGTGATGAAACAATATATTTTGGATAATCGATTTACATAGTTCCTTTGAAGTTCTTTGTACTTTCTCGTGACTGCTTACGCAGTAGAGAGAAAGTTATGTAATGCTGCGCGAAAAACGGCGAATTTCTGGCAGAAAAACTCTTATTGCAGGGCCCTGGTAACGAAAAAATGGATAAATCCAATTGCTAAATTTAGAAAAAAAATCCTCCAATACGTGGGTAGCCAGAATCCATATTTTGTGTGTCTTTGATACCGACAAATTGATGACGGTGAAACGTCGTTTAACAACGCTAGCGGCTAAATCGATCAGCCGATTTTCACCAAAATTGATATTCCCAAATTGATGTTGCTTGTGTTCGGGTTAATTAAATTTTAAACTGATATTTTAATTTTTAAGGGTACTTTATATTAAGTTTCTGGGACATTTTCTAAATAAATAAAGGCTCCATCGTTTTGATTAAACTGTGTTGTTGGATAGTTAGAGAATTTAAGTGAATGGTGCAGGTCTTATGTTGGTTAAGAAGTCTGATTATTTGAAAAAGTGTAGAAATTCAAAACTTTTGCCTTTAATGATATTTGCTCCTTAAAGATAGATTTTGACTACACTACTTAGAAAATTTGTGTATTTTTCTCGTAATTTTAGCGTGAAATTACGGGAGGGACAGTACGTTCTGTTTTAGCAACATTAGTTTATTGAAACTTTTCTACTGTTTTCGGCAATTTAATCACTTTGTAGAGCTAGTTGATTGTAATATTATTAGGAACAATGAAGGTATTTGCAAAAAATCTGTAATGGTCCCGTACGAAAAATGTGTTTTTGTGACTCCTTTGATTTTTTTGTAGATTAGTATCCACTATTTTCTACAATAAATGTAATAATTTATATTAAAAAGGAACGCATAAAAATGAAGAAACTATTAAACGAATGCAAGAATAAAAATGAGTTTTAGATGAATCGTTAACCCTACGCTGAAATGAATTGTTCACGAGAAAATACTATTATGAGAGATGGTCCACAAAGGTTTGTGAGTGCTTTCCATTAGACAGAAAAAAGCGGTTAACTGAGAGGGAAATAGGAGAATTAGTTTCCTAAAGATATGCAAAAAAGAAGAATGACTGAAATGATAGAGGAGTAGGGAGACTAAGAGAAATGAGATGCATGAGCTGTAAAACCAAAGAGATGTGAAGTGTTAATTTCTCTATGGTAAGTTTAGGTTACTTTTCCGTGAGAAAATACTACCGTGAAGAAAAAGAACGTTGTTTACGTTTTAATTTTAAGGCATTAAACATTTTATGTAATTGTACCAGTTAAAGCTCAAAATATTGGCATGTTAGCCTAAGCCACATTAGTTTACAGCTATGGAGTTCGTATTTAATAGCACGAAATATACCGTTTTACTACACGAAAGTCACATTAATAGATTAAAATACATATGTTCTATTAGGAGATGCACAAAACCGTATTACAAGGATATGAGGGAGGGACATTAACCCGTTCCATCCTCCGAAACTACGATTCTCATGGACCAAACCAACCCTAGGTAACTGGAATTAAAGATTACGATACACGTCCCAAGGGACTAACCTAAACGATTTTTGTGTGTTTTGCAGTGTTCTGCAATGTTCCGATATCTGTCAAAACGAATCCTTTCCCGAATGTCATCCTTATCTGCTGCTTGTCTTTAGTGTTTAACTTGAAAGGTCGAGCACTTACGACTGCAACATCAGCTGAGTTTAGAATAGGATTCAAAGTTGAAAGAAAATGCTGTTATTCCGAAATTTATTTTTTCATAGGAACAAAAAATTACTGAACTTACCTTTACGTGGTGAAGAGCTTCCAAGATATTTTGTGAACGCAATTAATATTCACAGAAGAAAATTAATATACACCAACATTTTTCAAGATAACTCTGTCACGAAAATCGCAAACACTTTCTTTGTAGTGTTATTTCTTAGCTGCCACAAATAAGTTTCACGCCTATTTCACACAACCGCCGTCCACCTACTTCATCGGACGAATGCCTAGAAACTGATTTTAGCGCGTCGCCACGCAGCTGGCGTATGCACAGAACGATCTCTCGCGCTTCCGTTCACTCGCGCTCTGTCGGTCGACCGCTCGCACTCTTCGCATCCCGCGTCGTCGGCCGGGCCGCTCCGCCCAGTGGCCCTCGCAGCGTGGGGACGGAGCGTGCCCCGCCGCCCGCCGCGCCCGCTATCTTATCAGGTCGGCCCCGCCGTCGCAGCGCAGCGCGACGCGTCGCGCAGAGCGGGGGACTGCAACGGGGAGGCACCTGTGGCGGCTGCACTTCCATCGCCGTCAACAACCGCCCTCGTCCTCGTTCTGACGGTCGCTGGGTTCGATCCGGTTGCACGTACCGCTCGGCTCCAGCTACGGGACGCCCCTCCCCCAGCTGTACATTTTGGACCTGTGGTACGGGTACACGCAGTGGGATGGGCGCTACTTGTAGGGGAAAGGATGATTCGAAATGCAGGTCATCCATAGTGCTGATTGGTGTCATTTCAGGGTTTGATTGTACAATGCTGTTCACGCGGTTTCAGCCTTGAGTTTAAGTTTTGTCTGTGTCTAGTAATTATGGTTCAAGACTCAATCAAGTGTGGGCATTGTAGGTTCTGAAATGTAATAAGGAAGTGCAGCATGTTCGAAGTATATTTTAACATACTTTTTATAGGCTTACAGCACTTAGTATTTGCAACTGATTTTAGAATGCCGAAGAAACTTTTATCTCCAGCACGGGTTCAAAAATCATTAACTCGCTTGAGGGTCAAAGCAAATAAACGTTTGTAAGTAGTGAAACTACAAAACTACAAAGCAACGCGTACAAGTTTGTTCCCCTTCCTTTGAGTCGAGGCTACCTTTCCCGCTTTGATCCATTCCCTTCTCGGCTACGATGTAGCGACCCTAAAGAACCTACCACAGTGTCCCGCGGTAACTACCAGCGGACGCTTCTCTGTGAAATTTCCTCATTTCCCGTGAACATCACGCCCTTTGACCTTCGTCCGTCCTGCACCATTACGTGCGTCTGTGGTAGTATTGCTTAAACATTGGTACCTTTAGTTCTTTATATCATTGGTCTGACTGAATGGAGTCAGACCCTCATTACATGCGTAGACCTCATTCACAGTAGCCAATGAGGGCAAGGGATTACGCAAAAAGGACGAAGAAGAGGACTGGAAACGCCCCCCCCACGCCAAAAACACAGCTCAGAACATCCGTACCTCACGCGGAACCGGAACTCAAGGCTGTGCCACGAGGCTTTGCCGTATTATTTGTTACTTAAAAATAATCACAATTTAGTTGTAAATCGTAAGTAATTTTCTTTGCACTATTTGTATTTGATAGATGTTTGTGAAGTGTTCGTCCAAGTGTGGCAAGCTTACAGCATTAGAGGTTTGATTGTCTTGTATAGGACAACAACATTGTTTAAGGAGGGAATGCTTTTATGATTTAGTAGTGGTTTTACCTGGATTAGTTTAATTTTGGCTTGTTCGAATTTTCGTTGCTCTCTGCTATATAGAGGTTAATTTTATATCAAAATTTAGTCCTAAATATTTAACAGTTTGGTTGTATGTGGTCTAGGGAATGTTGTTAATGTGGAGGGGTGGGGGTGGCGAATGTTCTGTGAGAGGATATTTTGGCCTTTGATTTTGACGGATTGAGCTTGATTTTCCATTTTAAGGACAAATCTGTTTTTCTAGTGCACTTCAAAGCCCATGCTCATTGTCCATTCTCGTTGTTCGTCCGTATTGCCTGCCTGTCATCATTTCCCGTTCTCACAGTTCGTTCTTGATACCCGTTTTAGATGAAACCATAAATATTAGCCTTGAAACATCAGGATTCTTAACATAAACATTTTTACCTATTCTAAGAAATGCGTTTAAATTTCTTGCGCGAAATTATTTCTTGTTGCACAATTTCCATTTGTTTTTACTGACATGATTAGGGGAAAACGTTTGGAATTATATGATGTTCAAAACAAATGTGTTTCATTAATACCTACATAACAGATATAATATTAATGCATTTATAATATGGCTTCATCTACCAACTGGAATGCTTTTATTCTTGTGGCATGTCGCATACAACGCAATCTGCTACTAAGTGAATATAACAAGAATAGATAAAACCAACTTAAGATATATCAATTTCCGAAGAAATACTTGTATTTATCTTTTAGTTCGATAACTGATTAGGAAGGTTGAACATAAATATTAAGTAGATGTGAAGGCTAAAATATCAGGAACCTTCGACCGTTGTCAACGAGATTATATCACGCAATTTTGTTTAAAAAACATTTTTTTTTAAATTTCTGGAAACAAACATTATTTTTTTTAGTTGACATCGAGTATTTCATTGGAAAAATATTCTTCTTCACTTTTCTTTTTTCCACCTTATTTTTCTGCAGGCTTCCAGCCAAAATGTCGATACACCTTTTAAAATGTCTTCATGGTCACAACTTTATATCTGGCTGATCTATTGTTACATTTGTAATTGTGTCATCTGTCATCTGCTTATTCATTGCCCTTTTCTGATTTGTGTTCATTCGAAAATGGGTTTCGTTTCTAATGCTTTCTTACATGGTCATTCCTGTGTGAATTATGTGATCTTTAAAACAAACTTTTTTCTACCATACTACGTAATAGACCTATAATATTAATGCACTTACAACATGGCTTCACCTACCAACTGTAATGTTTTTATTCTTGTGGCATGTCACACAATGCTTGTAAGTGAAGCTAACTAGAATAGATAAAACAAAATTAAATACTCTAGTGTCCCCACATTTCTAGTGGTAGACGGAGATAGCCTAAATAAAACATTTGATAAAGTTTTTTTCATACAGTTTTTTGGGCTTCAGTTTGTATTGCTTCTTTACATCGTCTTTCCTTATTCAGTATATTCTTGTGATGCTCTTTAAGACAATGTATTCATTCTAATTTTATCCAATATTTGTTTCGTCCCTGTGGTTTCAAGTTTTGTCCCTGCAGCATAAGAGAGCATATATAGGCAAACAGTTATTGTTTTATAAATAATCACTTTTACATAACCCAGAGGAATTTATTTCTTCCATAGTGTGCCATTTAGATATTTGGACACCCTGCTTACGTATGTCACTTGCCGTTCAACCTCTTCCCCGAAGAGATGATAGTTGGAAATACGTGTTCTGAGATTTCCGAAAGAAATTATTTGTTCATTTACTCGTTTAGATTTAATCGATGGACATTCAACAAATGCATGGAACCTCTTAATTCGATCTACCTAAGGAACTATCTTGCTCCCATCGTACAGCCTTTTTGATTTGTCCTTTATTTCATTATTGCATCCCCTACTGTGATAAATATATCTACCCCTCTCTTAGAGGTATTTAATTTAACGTTTTGATATTTATCTTAATCTTAGTTTGTCTGACTATATTTGTGAAATTAATGTAACCAGGTTATATGAATCTTCGAATTAAATTAAAATTTTAAACAGTTTATAACTGCAAGTGATTAAAGACGTATAAGTACACGAAAATGTGGGCGGGTTAACATATAAAGCTTTTCATCAATTTGTGCGTACAACTGTGAAAATATAGTCCGAGGGTCAAATTCGTTTCACTCTCATATGAAGACCTTGGTTACTAAGTAAGATTTAAGAATATTTCTGAAGGATTGTTTTCATGTCCACATTTTATGCGGTGCTTTATGTGTGATTCAACTTTTGCGTCTTACTGTAATAGATAACGTAATCCTCAAAAAATTGCTTTCGAATTTTCTACCTTCAGTTATTTATTTTCTTAAACATTACTCTTCTATTATCCCAGCAACACCTTTTTGGTCTTTATTGGTGGCGTTCGCGTTTTGCGCATTCAACTTTCCGCCGGGCATGTAGGTCAACAATGTATCAAGCGGATCTATCATTAAACGATATTGCTCTCTGTATTTGTCTATTCGAGCTTGTGTACAAATGGTCTCTGGCAAAACCAGGGCATAGTGTGCCTGTTGTGCTACGATCAATGGTTTCCTGAAGTCACCAACAGTTAATTGTTTGTTGAAGTAATGGATCTCTGACGACACACACTACCGCATTCTCAGATCCAGATTCTACATCTACTCCGCAATTTCACTCCGCATCCTGTTCTAGAGAACATAATGGATGCCTTGAGCATGCGAGTTGGTCGAATATATATTCAGGTATCAGAGATGAATACTTTGCCATACTACGTACTTATATTGACAAGAGAAAGTTCTCTACTGCTCCGACAAAAACCGACATTTAAAAAAAAAATTCGGGTCATGGGGTCCTGATAACAAGAAAGTGGATAAATCATATTGTTACATATATACTATTACTTGCTGTAGCACTTGTGTTGTCAGACTCCACGCTTTGTTGGTTGATTCCGAAAAATTGGTAGACGGCAAAACGTCTTTCCGTCTGTCTCCTTTTTTCTGTCTCTCCGTTTGTCTGCCTCTCACTTTGTCTCTCCCTTGTACTGTCTCTTCGTCTGTCTGTCCGTCCGTCCATCTGCCTTCAGTCTGTCCGTTTGTGTGTGATCAACGAAAGCGGCTAAACCGAAAGCAGAATTTCTATGAAAATTGATATTTTTCAATCGATCTCACTGATGTAGCGGCCCCTTTAACTTGAACTTGAATTTTCGAACATTTCAAATTTCAAAATTTGTTTGGCACCTTGCCACAACTATAGCATTGAAGATAGAGATTTTCCCTCTGAATAACATCTTTTCTGCAAAATAATATCTTTAAACGAGGAATATATATTTTTTTTTCAAATTAAGAATAGTTTTCACATAATTTCGAGTGGACAATATTAAAAAAATTGAAAAACAAGATTTTATCAAAAATGGCTAACTTTTTTTCTTTAAATTTTAATGCGAATAGTGCTACAAGCTCTCAATAACATGTCATAAAAGTCATTTTGTTATAATATTTAGATTTTTCAAAACTTACACAAATGGAATTTTCTTTATATATCACTCACGTCGTTAATATTTACATCGCTGGGCATTCTTCATACATTATTGTATTTGTGAGCAGAAGTGCTTCAAACATCTTATGAAGTTCTTCAAAAAGTCAAAACTCTGTGAAAATGAACTCAAATATGCGCATTTTTAAAAACGCATAAACGATATTTTCTCAAGAACAGCTGCACATTTCTCAATTAATATTTGCATACAGGAATATGTTTCGCTCTTGTGTAATATTCTTAAAGACATACTACACTTCTGCTTTAGGGGGTGGAAAAGACGTGCAAAAGTGTCGTTTTGGCAGCAAAAAAGTATTTTAGGGAGCAGGCTAGTGCCAGGTGGAGCGAGCGGGGCCAACATCCGAAAGCTAACCTAGACTAATGCGATTTTAAAACTAACTCTTTTGAGAAGGTCTTTGCCATTCTGTGGCACCACTGGTTTAAGTTACCATGCTTACACAATTTAATAAGCTATAAAAATTTGTTACTTGCGTGGACATATCCATCTTTTCTTATACCACGTGTTAGGGCTGTAAAATAGCTCATACTTTATGTTTTTACTAATATTGATAGCTCGTATTGAACCATGTCACTTTATCTTACTTTGATAAGGAGGGTTCTTTACATTGAGCCTTAAACTTTTCAATTCGCTCCGGTTTTCGAAACTATAAAACTGAAGATAGATATTTTTGCCTTAGACAAAGTCTGTTATAAAAAATTAGCTCTTTGGAAAAGGTAACATGCAATTATTTCAATTTATTTGAAAAAAATTAATGTAGATATTTGTTTTTACAATATAAATTATTTATACATGTCATTGTAATACTAGAAAAAAGTTACTAAATTGATAGAAATTGAAATGAAATGAATTGTCTGCACCGTCAGCGGAAGTTCTGTACCAAGCTTCT